GTGTGAACCAAAATCTGGGCCTGTTGATTTATGATAGAGGGTAAGAGAGGTTGAAATTAGTAAGCAAAGCCAAACAATACCTTTGCAGGAAAGAATATCAAACAGTCTTTTAGACAGCTGCTTAGTTACAAATAGTGGTGTTAGACCTGAGGTCTTTGCATGACAGTAGATTGTTATGTAATTTTTTTCATGACCACATCACTTGAACTGCATCCTACTACTTCTGTAACTGGACTGGTCTGTTCAGTGGGAGAGCAAGATGCACAATGGTTATATTAAATAACCAGCATACTTTATTGTAGTATAGTTAGGAAATGGATTTATGGGCTATTAAATATTGTTAGAGCATCATAGATAATTTTGATATGTGTTTATATAGAATAATAATAATACAAACTTGTTTCTTCTATATGAAAATGGTTTTGGCATATGGTATTGGGGGGGAGCCATAGTATGCAAAATGTGGTGCAGTATGGTCATATGTCTGCCAGTATTTTTGACAGGCTGGATTATAGAAAGAATGTAGCACAGACAAGGCTTTTGGTGAACCTTGAGTGTAATGAAGGGTAACCTGGAAATATAACTTTTTCATGTGAGTAAATGGTGCTGTAAAATTGGCCAGTCCCTTAAGATCTTTTAATGAGTGGAGTTTACAGAAATAATTTGAAGAAAAAGAAATCTGAAATCTAATATATGTGATAATGGAGAAATAAAAGCTATAATAGTGCATTTAGAATGTATTTTTTATTACTCTAGGTTCATTTCTGACATAACTGGTTTTAGTGAGCCACTTGAATGATCTTGGTTGCTATGAAGTTTTAATAGCTAACACTTGGAAAGCCTTGTAGTTTAAACAAATGTGAACTCCAAAATCACATTCCTGCCTTAAGAAACTATCCCAAATTTGTGGGGGGAGGGGTGTGTATTTTTTAATTTTTTATTTTCTAAAAAAATATGTGAAAGAATGTTAGGAGGTAAGGTTGTGGAAGTGCCTGTAAAGTGGTGGCTTTTTTCTAGATGGTGTCTTAGTATTGTGTCACAAAATTTTTACTATATAAAGTATTTAATCTTCCTCTTTTATAAAGCTATTGAGCGCTCACTTCAGAGTAGCAGCCCTTTTCTTCATGCATGACTTGAAAGAAATCCACATTTTATTATAGTTGATTAAAAAAAAAAAAAAAAAGGATGAAAGAGAAACACAGGCCCTAATGCACATTCTTATGTGGGGAAAAAGCTAGTAGAAAGGAGAGATTTTTGGAAAACCAAAGGTTTGCGTCTGAACTTGTGATTCAGATCTTTCTTTCATGACAGTATGCATTCTCGGAGTGCCTTGCTAAACCTGATAGCCTTTTGGAAAACAAAAGGATATTGGGAAAAAACAGTATTGGAGATGGAGATGATACTTTCTTATGCTTTGAATAGAGGCCCTTTTTTTTTGGGAGCTGCCCCAGAAATTTCTGCACACACGTTGCATTGCATTGAAAATAAAAAGACTTAAGTGTCTGTTTTACTAATTCTGGTCCTGAGTCAGTATTCTCAAAAGTGTAAAAACTGCAGCGGGCAATTAGCAAAACTGTTTAGGATGAAAACATTGGCCAGTGTTTTAAGAACTTCTAATAAAAGGAGTTAAGGCAGAAGGGCTTTTGTAGGCTGTGAGTGGAGACGATGTCTCAAAACTACTAGGCACTCTCGACTTTAGCAGTATATTGTTCCCTCCTTTAGCTCCAGTGAGATTATTTGTCATATCTAGACATGAGATAGGTAACATTCAGCCTAGATAAAATGTTCAGATTTCTTTTACCTCTCTTTGTAAGATTGCTGGGGGTGGAGGGGAGTAAAAATGAGGAACATGTTCAATCTTTGCTTTATTAAAAAAAAAAAAAAAGTCATTAACCCAATGAAATTAAGGCAACTTTAGATGGGACTTCAGGTCACTGTAACATGAGTCAGGTAGTGAATCAGAAAATTCTGTTATTTTGCAGGGAAGAGTGTATCTGAGGACATAGAATTGTTGCGCTGGTTGTGCTGTTTTCTCTGCATCAAGCAAACACCAGCTTGCCTGAAACGTAGATTGAAGAGTCCAGCAAGTTCTCGGCCACCTGCGGAGTATTGAAAATGGTTGTTCCCTAGTGTGATGTGTATATGAAATATTTGTAAATAATAAATACCTAAGAATTGTTAAAAGAAAATAGGAAGCTAAATGCAATGGTGAGATATTCAGGTTTTGTTTGAATTGTCTTCTTTCACTTATCTTTTCCATAGCGTGATTCATCTTTTGCTTCATTCTGCATAATGCTGATTATAAGGTGAAAGTAAGTAATCAGTGGCTGAAAAAAGGTTGCTTGCATCCCCTCAGAGATTGGGAACGTGCCTGTTAGAAGTTTCAAAATACCATCTTTTCTGAAAAAAATGTTTCTTAGGGAATCATGAAATGGGCTTTTCCAAAATAGTGACTAACAGTTGTGGGTTTTGGCAGTCTACTAGTTTTGAATAAAGTACAACTTTTTAACTGCTCACTGCAGAGAGTTCTTGTGTAAGTAACAACTAGCATCCTTAAATGTTTCATAGGCACTGTTGTATCTGTCCATGTCTTGGACTTGCGTGACTGACTTTTTACACCTGTATGGGATGCTGCTCCAGGTCCACACAGATTGCTTGGTGTAGTAAAGCTGATATTTTCCCCAAATTCAGGAGAAATGCAGGGCAGTGCACAGGGTTATCTTTTTAGAGGTGAATACTACTTGCATTAAGTTAAGTCTCCTTGTGTGAACAAATGCAATTTCTTCAATAAATTCTTCAGTGCTTTTCATGCTAAGGACTGGGGGGAAAAAAAACAAACTCCTCCTTCTTAATGTTTTCAGTGTTTTTACATGTCAGAAATTGTTGCAACATTGCAGCCTTAGATTTGTTGTCAGAACAAATTTCAATAATATTTCAATGTGATAACAATAGTTTTTGTAATACATTGTTTCAGCCAAGACAATGATTTGTAAATTGGAAGATGACTATTGTCTTCTGACTTGTTTGATGATGAAACTAAGTGGGAATTCTATGTTTGAAACACTAAGGCTTTCACAAGCCTTTATAGCCTAGATACTGAACTTTTGTCTTACAATTGAGAGAGAAATGCAACCTTTTGAGAATGGTATTGACACCCTTCAGGGAAATATGTCAGATGCAAAAATACTTAGACTGTCATGCTTCTTGGCCAGAAAATGTCATTAAGTCCCATCTTTCCCTTATACCACTTAATTTGAAACTAGCAAACCATGGGTGTGTAAAATAACTGCGTTTTGGCCTGTGACTTTGATGTGTATTAGCTGTGTTTCTATTACTTCTGCTCTGTAACATACAACGCGTTACTTCTGTTGCCATGAAGAAACTTGGCGGGGGCGGGAGGGGAAGGTATGTGTAGTGATTGAGAGATTCCAATTATTACTATTCCACTTGCTGAATTTTACAACCAATCACCTTGTTAATAAACCAGTTTAATACTAATAAATGAGCAGAGGGTGTTAATATCTGCAGGAAGTTCATCGCACACTCTGAAATTGGGCATTAGTGCTTCTGATATTCATTCCAGTTATCAGATTCAGATACAATAGATCCATTAACACACACAGCAGCCTACAAAATAAGATATTTGCAGACATTTTCTCCTTTCTGAAGGCCCAAGTTACAACATTTACAAGGTTTCTTGAGCAGTGCATGGTGACATTATAGGGATGGTGCACATAAGATTGTCTTTCACGTATTGGTATCACTAATAAAAACCACATTGGTTTTTGAAGTGTAAGAAGCATAATACTGGTACCTGAATATCTGTTACATTGTTAATAATTTTTAAAATGTAAAAATCAGATTTAGAAAAATGCTTTTTAAGATGCCTGATACCTTCAAGTAAAGGCTTTTTTTTTTATGTAGAGGTTTATGTGTTGGAAGAGCCTATAAGCAACGCTTATGTAACAGTGCTTAGACTTACACATCAGCCGGCTGGTATAGCCAGATCTTTGGTTTTTCTCTTTTTTTTTTTACTTTTTTGAGGTATTTGTGAATAGCTTGATGTTTTTGACATCTGTGTGACAGCTTCTTGCATAAGAGATGAGCAGCATGTTATACCACCCAGCTGTGTGTATTAGTCTGTACATCAAGCTGAAGAGCGGCACTTAGCCAGATCTGACAATCAAATGTGAACTAGTACTACCTATATGCAAGAGTGCATTTTAATGTTGTGTGCTTTTTGCAAAGAGGCTGGTACTTGACAAAGAAATTGTCAGAATCTCTCTTCTTCCCATCTCTTCCACGCCCCCCCCTCCCTCCCCCAGATGTGAATTCATGTTGACATATGTGATTTTTTTTTTTTTCCTGAAGTTTAATATGGTTTATCCTACAGGTAAAAAAGCCAATCTGATGTTTTCAGTGATTTCATGTAATAAAATTGTAGCAAGGTTTTTGTAATAGAGAAGTGTTACTGGTTTAGAATCTGCAGCAAATTAACATGTTATTTTTTGTGACCTTAATCTGAAGTTATATTATGCTTGGTTTCACCAATGACTTCATGTCAACATACCAACAACCTGTCCCCAAAGAAAACTAGAGACCTAGAGAAATTACCTTGCTAGTTTGTAAATTTCAGTGCTGCTCTTCCCAGTCTGGTTAAGTCAGTGATCAGCAGGGTGTGAGTGTGGAGATGAGGAAGTGAGAGCTACCTCTCTTATTTTAGTTTGACTGATATGTTAGCTATGAACCTGAAAATCTTCTACACTTCCTCATGATTTCGTCTGTCATCTTCTTTGATGCTTAAATTTGAATAAATGAAATTCACTGTCACAGAATAAAATACACAGTAACACTCTTCATAGTTCAGCTTTCCTTGTTTGTGTGTGTGCTACAAGCCAGCAGTTAGCTGCTACATGTAATATTTCTTTCTTCATTTTTTAAATACGATTGCCAGAATAGGGAAGATCTGTTTTGACCTGTATATGCAACTTAAAAAGATTATGAGAAGGGGAATTTACAAGAAAGAAAAAGAATATTTTCTTTTTAACAATTAATTCTCTTGTCTATGGAATAATCGACTTGCAGTGATACCTAGGTGATGAAATATGTATTTGTTCCCATATAACTTGGTGTTATGGAAGTGTTAGTGATACCCTTTTTTAACTTATTCTGTGTTTTCCTTTGTAGTACACCCTTATCATTCTTTTAAAAACTGTATTCCATTTCCATCTGGTCTTGCTCTTACAACCTAAAAGTATCGAGTGAGCTGCAACTTCAATTATTTCTTGTGATAGTGTTTAAGTAGCTGAAAATATTGCAATAAAAATGAGAATTTGAATCCTGATATCTGAAATATTCAAGCGTTATGGCAGATGTAGTTTTATGATCTTTGAGTTGCATTAGTAAATTTATGTTAATGATCAAAGTTTGTAAAGAAAACATGCAAGATAAAAGAAAGAAGACACAAAGGAAATAGTGTATTCATTTTCTAGGTCAGTACTTCTACTGTAACAATTTTTGCACTATTCTTAATCTGTATTTATGTTGAGTTAGTGTTGAATTAGACTGTGGGTAGATAAATTTGGATGGACTTGTCATGGATTGGGATTGTTTGATTCCTAAAATCTGATAGCATGTTTCAAGCTTCCCTTGCACTTTCTAAATCTTTAGCTGCACAATTAACTGTATAATGTATACAACAACTCTATTTTTATTAATAAAATCCTGGAAAATGCAGTTTGGGAAAAATAGGGCTTTTATCTTGGCAATTTCTTAGAGGACATCTTGACTAAATGTTGGTGGAGAGACTCTCAGTCTAAAACAGAAGTAAAAAGGCAGTTAAGAGAACAAGGGAGTCAGAGAAAACGTGCTCTTCAGAGTCAGCTGGTTCTTAGTGCACTCCCAACATCAAAACAGATTTGTGGCTGTCTGCTGGAATGGCAGGTCTTGAGTATGGCATGGTATGCAGTAGATTATGCTTTCTTTTTCCTTACTACACGCATTTCGCAAGGAAACACTTTAGAGTATGCCCAACGTTGAGGCTCATTGTTTTAATAAAGTATATTATTGAGCCATTTAATGGAACATGAGCTTTGTACCCATTGGATCCACAAATCGAAGTAGAAAATAAAATGAAAAAGAAATAAGAAATTAGTATCAAGGTACAAAGTAGGCATAGTTCTGAAGAACATTAGACCAAGATGGATTTTTATCAGTGTAGTAAGGACTGATTATCTAAAAAAGAATTTAGGAGCAAAAATACTCACATTCTCTGAAACTGCCTAACCTGAATTGCTGATTTGTAAGGGGAAGAGCTCCACTGGTTTTCTTCATCAAATTTTCCTTACTTAATTTTCCAGAATTGAAGGTAGTAAGAGAAATAATTGCACATGTTTGTGTCTTTTTAATACAACTACTTTTATACTTGGCTGTTTTATCTTTGTTGTTAATCTAATTTTGCTTCAATTTTACCCTTCCAAAACAGAAAAAAAAGCTTCTTGAAGAACTGGGAGACAATAGACTTCCATATGTGACACCAGCCGATGCTGATTTCCATCAATTGGTAATGTATTTCTTTTAACTGTACTTGTTTTAAACTAAAATGGCTATTTGCACTGAACAAGAAGTAAATCTTTCTTCAAAAAGACACTGTGAAATCTGATATGAAAATGGTGTCCTGATGGCTGATAATGTACTTTCAAGTGGTGCAAAATAAGACCTCTAGAATTGGGATATTCAAGAATGAAAACTTTGTGAACTTCATTTATTTTTAGGATTTTGCCCTGAGTATCAGTACCTGAGTACCAGGTAACATATGTAACAATCAGTTTCTTATGCTTTGCTAAAATAAAATACATATTTCCATTCTTTTAAGGTTTTTGGTTTTTGCACCCCCACCCCCTGCCCCAAGTTGTGAAGAGAACTATTCTTTATAGGTCAGGTTTGGCAAAATAGGGCAAATATTAACATAGAGATAAGAAATTTTTTGGCTTAATTCTACTTTCAAACAATAAGTAACCCGTAAGACTTTGCTTACAAAATGAACTGTGGAAACTGGAATGCATGCCTCAAATGAAACCAAATAAAAGTAAGAACAGGCCCAGTAGCCACATGAGTAGTAAACCAAATGAGTGTATGGAAAAGTATCATGAAATTAATAGAATATTCTGCATGTATCTTGGAACTTTCTAGGGCAGCTACAAAACATATGGCAAGCATTGCAGGTTCAATCAGATCAAATTGGAACATGGTAAGATGAAAAGCATAAGAAAGAATCTGGTAGTTTGAACAGCTACAGCAAGCGTGCTTACATTACAGGCATGTCACCTTTCTTGTATTGACATATGGCTCAAAGATGTATATGGTAGCATAAAAATAGGTCTGACTCTTTCCTTGCAAGGATGAGTTTCTCTTTTGCAGGATTCCAAGGCTGAGAAAAGTTTAGGGGACACCACACTTACAGAAAAGGAAAGATGCATTTATGGGTCAGGTACGGGACTGCAAGTCAGAAGCATGAAGTCAAACTCCAGTTTTGCCACGGGAGTACAATTGTAATATTGAGCAGTCTATATACTTCCCTCACCTTTCTCATTCATTTGGGTTGTAGGATGCTTAGGGAAAGCATGGTTTTCTCTGTATTCTTACAGGGCTGAGCATAGTAGAAGTAAGCTCTTAATTGGGATCTCTAACAGCTGTAGGGATAATGATATGAAAACATGTAACTTGTTGTTAACTATTGTGGTGGTTTGACACTGGCTGGATGCCAAATGCCCACCAAAGCCGCTCTATCACTCCCCTTCTCAACTGGACAGGGGAGAGAAAATATAACAAAAAAGCTCGTGGGTCGAGTTAAGGACAGGGAGATCAGTCAGCAAGTACCACCACGGGCAAAACAGACTCGACTTGGGGAAAATCGGTTTAATTTATTACCAGTCAAAAATGAGTAGGGTAATGAGAAATAAAACCAAAACTTAAAACACTTTCCCCACACCCCTCCCTTCTTCCCGGGCTCAGCTTCACTCCTGATTTTCTCTACTTCTCCCTGAGCAGCGCAGGGGGATGGGGAATGGGGGTTGCGGTCAGTTCATCACATATCATCTCTGCCACTCCTTCCTCCTTAGGGGAGGACTCCTCACACTCTTCCCCTGCTCCAGCATGGGTTACTTCCCACAGGAGACAGTCCTCCACAAACTTCTCCAACGTCGGTCCTTCCTACAGGCTTCTTCATGAACTGCTCCAGTGTGGGTCCTTTCCATGGGCTGCAGTCCTTCAGGAGCAGGCTGCTCCAGGGTGGGTCTGCCATGGGGTCACAAGTCTTGCCAGCAAACCTGCTCCAGCCTGGGCTCCTCTCTCTGCATGGGTCTACCAGTCCTGCCAGGAGCCTGCTCCAGCATGGGCTTCCCACGGGGTCACAGCCTCCTTCAGGCATATCCACCTGCTCCGGCATGGGGTCCTCCACGGGCTGTAGGTGGATATCTGCTCCACAGCGGACCTCCATGGGCTGCAGGGGGACAGCGTGCCTCACCATGGGCTTCACCAGGGACTGCAGGGAAATCTCTGCTCTGGTGCCTGGAGCACCTCTTCCCTCTCTGTCTTCACTGACCTTGGTGTCTGCAGCGTCGTTCCTCTCACATATTCTCACTTCTCATTCCAGATGCAGTTTGTGTCCCAGTGTTTTGGGTTTGGGTCCCCCCCCACCCCTCCCCTTCTTAAATATGTTATCACAGAGGCGCTACCACTGTCGCTGATTGGCTTGGCCTTGGTGGGTCCGTCTTGGAGACAGCTGACATTGGCTCTATCGGACATAGGTGAAGCTTCTAGCAGCTTCTCACAGAAGTGACTCCTGTAGCCCCCCCACTACAAAATCCCAATACATTGGGTTTGCTACGCCAACCCAATAAATTTCACCCCTCGCCTCTGTGAATCACATATTTAAGAATTATCATTCTTAATATACATCACACAATCCACCCCTTGTCCCTTCACCACAATTACAACAACTGAAATTCCCCAGGATCATTCCATTCTCTAACATTGGTCAGTCCATGTTTTGCCTGTTGCCTCTCCCAGTTACTATTGTTATCTCAAATTGCTCATGCCCTACATCCGGCACCAAAAAGGACTGTCATGGTTTAGCCCCAGTCAGCAACTAAGCACCACACAGCCACTTGCTCACCCTTTGCCCTTGGTGGGATGGGGGAGAGAATCGGGGTGGGGGGAGTAAAAGGCAGTTTAATAGGACAGCAGAGGAAGAGAAAATAATAATTATAATAACAATAAAGGAATATACAAAACAAGTGATGCACAATGCAGTTGCTCACCATGCACTGACTCATGCCCAGCCAGTCCCCGAGCAGCAATTGCTGCCCCCCCTGGCCAACCTCTCCCCATTTCTATACTGAGCATGACATCGTATGGTATGGAATAGCCCTTTGGTCAGTTTGGGTCAGCTGTCCTGGCTGTGCCCCCTCCCAGTTTTTTCTGTGCACCTGGCAGATCATGGGAAGCTGAAAAAGTCCTTGACTAGTGTAAGCACTACCTAGCAACAACTAAAACATCCGTGTGTTATCAACATTATTCTCATGCTAAATCCAAGCCACAGCACTATGCCAGCTACTAGGAAGAAAATTAACTTTATCCCAGCCAAAACCAGGACAACTATAAAAGCACTTCTGTGGGTAAGGGCAAGGAAAAGTGTAGAAGAGCGTAACAGAATGATTTTTTTTTTTTTTTTTTTAGAAAAAAATCCAACCCCAAACACATTCTTTTCAGTCTTAAACTAATGTTCAAGAAGAAGCTCTTCCCCATTTTGAGACTCGGGCAGCTTACTGTTTTCTCCTTGCTCATCCTGTTACATCCCCTCCTGTTTGTTCTCTTCTTTTATATCTGTTGAGCTGCTATGCCCAGCATCTTTTCCTTTTTTTCTGTCTTTGTAAATCCACAGTCTTGTGGAGCTGATGTGAAAAGAAGATGGAGCCAGGGTTGCCCAAGTGGCATCTCCTTTGCTCAGTATCAGTAACCCATAAAAACAGAAGACAATGGGAACAAGATAAGCAGTGAAGTCAGACCTGTTCAAGCCTTAATAGAGTCTTTCTGCATCATATAGAATTGCACTTTTTGTGTAGTGTTTGTGTGCATGCTAGGTATTTTTAAGTATATGTGATGATCATAAGCATAAGCCTTTTAAATTCTTATGGTGGTTATGAAATGTTACTTTAATCACAGCTGTTACAAGTTCCATGATGCTTAATGTACTACAGATGGAGAGTAAAAGATCGGTGAGAGCTTGAAGACAACAAATTAGCAAAATTAAATATCACATAGAGTTTAGTTTTATAGTCTGTCTTTCCTGGAGAGACCTGCCTTACTCCTTTAAGGGTCCACCCCTTATAAAGTAGTATTCTTTGAACAAGTTGGAAAGGTTCAGTAGGGTGCAAGTAAAAAAATACAGTATCCTGTCAGGTATGGAAACATACAGTCGGAACAAAACTAAGAAATTCCATCACAAGCAAAACTTCACTGACATCCTCTTTGAATGCATCTTGCCTGATGAAGGATTTTAGAAATGAGTCCTAAACCATAAGCTGAAACAAGGTAATGTTTAAAGCTAGTTATGAACAAGAAAAAGTCTGTTAACAAAACAATTCACAAATATCTGAAGTACAGACCATCATTTCATGATTTAAGTAGCAGTTTGCTTATCAAGGGTCCTTATTACTGATTTCTAACTTTTTTCTACCACTTGAGCTACCCTGTAGGGTGATTCTCTGTGTTCAGTACCACCAGCAGAAGCGAATGTGTGTATGTTTAAAATTATGTGTGTAATACTCATATGAAGAATTAAGCATCAAATGTGCTATTTCTTTTTTTTTTGTCCTGTAGTTGCCATTAACGTACCTACTTCTTTCAGAGTGAACAGTGAATTGACCTTTAATACCTGCTGTCAGAGTTACAACGCAGAGTACATGATTAGTCCCCCTTCCCCATCCCCCCAAAACAACAAGGTATCCAATGTGAACCCAGCATTCGCCCTGTGTTCTGATCCCTTAATGCTTTCCTTATGTAGGACATAGCACAATGACTGGTTGGAGATTTAAAGAAGACCAAACTCTTTTCATGTGATGTGTCGGAAATGTGTTTCCACTTCCTGATTTCTTTTGACATGCCAGTGGGGGTTTCTTTTTAAGGTAGAATCCAAAGTATACTGTCTAAAACTTAATGATAAAATAATTCTTAACCACGTAATCTTGAAACACAGCGCAAAGGTAACATGCCTCTGACTTGGCCAGCAATAAAATGTGGAAGACGTTACCTCTGCAGTTCAGGAGGGGAATACAATGTTGTTACCTTAGTAAAATCTGCGTGCTTCCTTTCTAAGTGCATGTTTTCAGGCATTTAGTTGCTTTACATCATATTGTTATTTCCGCCCTTCTGTTTGTAATAATTGTTTGGAATTTCATGTGTGCGACATGTCAGAAATTCAGTATAATAAATGGTTTAAAAATATGTAGTAATAATGACTTTTAAAATATGCTATAATAGCATATGTAATGTGGTAATTGGTTAATATGACCTGAGTATGTCCAATATACAGAATTGTTTAAAGAAATACTGGGATGCTGCTATAGAACTGTTAGTACTCTTTCTTTTATACACATCATTTGCATAATGAAACAAACCATGCAGTAATAATCTTTATGTGTCACAACATATAATGTTCTGTCATTGTTAAGTATGATTGTGAAAGAATACTTATGATTCCCATCAACCTATACCCACACATCTGACTGTAGCCTATAGCTGTAAATCCTTAAAATTTGCAGTTACTGATTTCAGTAGTTATTCTTTATGAGGATTTTTTTCACTGTACTGTTCAAGGCTACAGATACAAAGCACTGACTGAAAGAAAGGGGACAGTTCAGGTCCTCCGAAGGCATCATTTCAGGCTTCTGGCAAGCTCAAGTGAATTGTGTTTATCAAGTTTATATTCAGTTCTTTTAGTGAAAGCTGGGATACAGTGTTCTGTGCTGGGGATTGTAGAGGGACCTTCAAATAGATATCTGGAACTATTTTTAAGCTTTGGTATATAAAGTATAGCATTTAAATACAATTGTCAGAAATTATTACTATCTGTAGATACTGTTCTGGGGCTTTTTCCTCTCTCTAGGAAGCTCGCTTTTGGAAACCATAAGAATATGTAAAGGGAGTTAGCTTCACTGTAAAAATTCACAAGAAATGGTGGCAAGGTTTATAAATAAACTATGATTTATTATGTGTAATCTTATTTTTAAAATAGACTTCCCTTTATAGTCCCCTTTTTAGTAGAAACAAATGATCCTACGAAGCCATCTCTTCAGTGTTGTGGAATAACGTGTTACGATGCACAAGTCTAACTGTTTTCCTGCACTAGAAAACGTGCATACTGACTTACTGCCTGGTTTGTATTTTTAAAGGCACCTTTTCTGGATTTTAGAATTAATTTCCTGAAAGGCAGGCTCAAATCTGACTTGGATGTAGATAGTACTAGTAAAGTAGTTTTGAGTTTTACCAGAAGGAGCCCACAGATGAATTGTAGGTCAGTGTAATACTTTTGTGCTGGTGGCTTTTATTTGCTTTTTTTAAAAGCACGTTGAACATAAGCTATTACATTAGTAAAAGTTTTGATAGATCAGTTTTGTTCGTCCGTGTGCTCTTGCCCCTTTGGCTAATGCCTTCTGATTTCAGTTTGCCTTAATTTTTTTTCCCACAACACCGTTAGTATCTACCTTTTCTCCAGACTAGTGACTAACTTCTGGACAAAAGGAAATGGGTGTAGTGAGTCGTTGGGAGCTTCCCACATGCTAATTGACACTTGATAGGCTCACAATAGAGCCTTTCCCTTACTAAGGGCACTAATTTGCATCTGTCTCTTTTATTTATCTATTAATTTTAATGAAATACATAGGAACTTAGACTGTTTTCTTTAAGAACTTATTCTCTAGCTTTCATCCAGTTTGCCAAACAGTCTCAGCAGTAGTTAAAGCAGATTTACAGGCAACCAATAAAAGGTGTGATTACATGATACTCAGTTCCTTAGAAAACCAGATTAACGAAATAAAATTATCCAAGCCTTCCTGGAGTGGGAAGCAGTATTTTGCATACAAAGCAAGATACTGCTGATTAGTGGCATCATACCTTGCTGTGAGTTGTTGCCTCCACAAGCTGCTGGATTCTGAACTCCAGCTGATACCAGAGCTGGTGTGGTGAGGAGGTGGGGAGGAGAAGTAGTTTGGAAAATTTTTATCTAAAAGGGGAACTCTTATATAAAATAGGAGCGCTAATTGGCATACATTGAAGAATGTGAAAACAGAAAGGACTGGTATGTCAAGGACTATTTTGAAGATAGAGGTGCAGTGCAGCAGAATGTTGGCCTTTTTTGAAAATTTATGTTTTCAATTTGTTATTTTTGCCCTAAAAATTGTTGTTATCTAAAACTATTTCAGTTTATCATGTAGCCCTCTAGAATTCTGTACATCAGAATGAGACAGAACAGTCTTTGCAACCATCGCAAAAGATGAGTCGCTTTGTTACTGCTCAATATTCCATTGTTTCTATACTTAAAGGTAGCATTATCTACAGATTCATCAGGGGAGCTTATATGTTCTATTGATTTCTGCCAGAATCCTCAGTTTTATTTATTTATTTATTTATTTATTTATTCATAGATTTGTCCTGATGATACTCTCTGGTTACAGGCCACTGGTACATATCCACAGTTTGTGTGATATATTGGAATATGAAAATAAAGTAACAAATACTGGCATCTATTTCTTGATCACATTCTAGACTCATGCTTGATAACTTGTCAACTTAGCCTTGTCCTGAAATACTTTGGTTCCTGTAAAAAGAATAATTCTTTTGCTGTTTTTGTTGTTTTGGTTTGGTTTGGTTTTTTTTCTCCTTTAGTGGAAGACCAAATACTCCAAGCTGATTTTTAGAAAATCTGATACAGTACCTGAAGAGCTCCATCAAATGGTACAAGAAGGCTTTCTGACCTTGCAAAAACACGATTGTTTCTTTCGAGATCTTGTAAGGATCAAAGGAAAAGATTTTGTTACCCCAGTGTCTCGTATATTAATTGGAAACCCAGGATGTACTTACAAGTACTTGAACACAAGATTATTTACAGTTCCTTGGCCTATCAAAGGTTATGATATAAAATATTGCAGTCCTCAAATACATGATGCTTGTAAAGCATTAATTGGACTTAATGACTACTTGCATATTGAAGCAGTCAAGGCATTACAAGGACAAAATTTGTTTGAGACCACAGAAATTAAAGATACTACTGTAATAGATAGGGAGCAAAATTTTGCTACTTCTCTTACGGCGAAAGGGTCTGTTTCAAAAGATCAAAGCAGTTGCTGTGCACCAGAGGATGACTACATAAGTCTAAAGAACAGAACATCCTATAACTTGACTTTATTAAATTATATGGATCCACTACAAATGCTGTACTTGAAACAAGAACCTTATTTTGGAATGGGGAACATGGCAGTGAGCTGGCACCATGACGAGAATCTGGTTGAAAGGTCAACGGTTGCTGTGTACAGTTACAGCTGTGAAGGTGAGTGATGGGAGGTATGAGTTGACTAGTGATATAAATATCTTAAATCCCTGAAGTTCTTTTATGTTTCCTTGTGTGTACGTACGCAAGCATACCTGCATGCTAGTCTAGATTCGTCATGTGCTTCTGAATACATTCTGGGACTTTTTATATTTAAGCCCCATCTTTATTTCTACTAAAACCAGTACAAAAATATACCTGTGTTTACTGGAGCTGGCTTATCCGTTGTTCCCAAAGTAGATTTAAAAATTGGTGCGATTAACTTCCTGACTAAGAGCCAGGAAATCAAAATCTGTCAAATACCTATTTCAGGTTAACGCATGTGCTCATTTTCTATCCTGCAACATGTTTCATTGTAGTTGAGATCACCATCTTTATTGTGTTATTTATCATATACAGACTTGCTTCTGCTTTGTGCTGATTTTACTGCTCTTCTTTTTTTAAGATCATTTTAGGTTGGTTTTGTATAAAAGTATTACTGTATTTACTTGCAAGTATATACATTTTGTCTAGCCATGCTGTAGTGCTAATGCACATTTTGTGGAGGACTTGCCAACATTTCTGTAGTTGGAAAGGCTGGAAGTTTTCCATCAAAAGACCTGTTGTCTGACAGGCTTTGCAGGCTCTTAGTTATTTAAAAACCATTTAAATGCAGTATTAGGGGGAAAAACGTGTAGTTGAAGAGTCATTAAATAATTTAATTTTTAGTTTAAAGTACCCTTCCCATCTTTATTTTTATTTAAAAACAGACATGAAGATTTTTGTTTATTTTTTTCCTAACAATTTTTTAACAAAGCCTTGGATTTTTTTTTAATGGCTTCCAGTTTTGCAAACATAAGATTAGAATTTAGACACTTGATTTGAATTGGCAAATGCTCTCTTATATTTCATAATTCACAACTGATCTTTGGTCCTTCCAAAAATCCTTTGATGTTTGCTTCAAAATATGGGAAGAATTCATGTTGACTTCAGTAGGTTTTGGCCAAAGACCATGATGTAAAAATAATAGCTTATACTTTCATGTGCATTCTCTTGTTAGTTTTGTTGCTAGTTCTGAAACTATGGGTCACTTTGTTATTCAATGTTCAGCTGTAATCATCATATTTACATTTTCCTGGACATAAAACATCAGCTGGCTTAGCAAACCGAATAGAAGAGACTCCCTGACTCCCTGACCAGTAGAAGTGTCATTTTGTTCATGAACTTTTTTTGTCTTATTTGCCAAAGATGCTGATATTTTATGTCCAGTGGATGTATTTTTTCAGTAGTACTGTAGATAACTTAAAATGTTGCTGAAAAAATGTTTGCTGCAAGCTCATGCTTGTTTCTTTAATAATAGTGTGTGTGAGGATTTATTATAAAACTTTAAAACTTTTTACTTTAATGTAAAACTTGCTTCCAGAGAGGAAAAATGAGCCCCTTTAAGTTCAGAGAGCTATAAATGAACAAAAATGAAAGCTGCTGTGTTTATTCATAACTTGTCACTTGATTTTGTTTCTTCAAGTTCAGCAAGTTAGGTAAAAATGATGCTGTTGTAAACCCACTGCAAATTCTATGCAAGATTTGATTGATAAGGGTAGAAAGAAATATTTGATATATTTAGACTAAAAATTATTTTGGTATCTGTATGTAATTAATGATTTTGCCACATACAAGATTTTTTCATAAATACACTTAAAAGTTTACGGTTTTTTTCCTGAAGGATTTAGAAATAAACATGAAAGCTTAAAAAAGCTAAAAGCTTTCCAGTGAATAAATTGATCATTCCATCGTTTACATTTAAAAAAAAAAAAATTAAGAAATTACTACTTCAAATTTTTTGTATTTTTGCAATGATTACAAAAGTTTTTCATCAAATTGAAATTTGATCATATATTGGGGGAGGAGGGAATCTCTTGACAGGAGGCGGCGATATTAAAACCTCAGTGTAGCTGGAGGTAGTGTAAAAGACACTTTCTTGGGAAGAATATTATTTATGAAGTCAGATCTAAATCTGAACAAGATTGAATTCCACTTGATAGCTCTTGACCATGGCTCAAGTTGGTTTCATGAACTTTGGAGGGAATTTAATGTGCCTAGCATGACTCCTGAGCATCATGAGGGAATGTCCTGGAGTATATGTTTAATGTAAAAACAGTTCACTCGCATCTGTCTGTGTTCAGGTTGTGGTTGTCAATTGTACATCCCTAAAGTGAAGCTGTATTTATAGTTGGTCTACTTATTCATAAGTAGGAGGAAATGGAACCTGTTTATAGTTTATGGATATGGCATTGTAATTAAAGTGACAGTAAATATTTGTGGGTGTTGAAATTTTCTACCTAGCACATCCAAAAGGAGTAATGAGTCTACTTGATTTTAGAGAAATAAGTAAATTGTCTTTTTGCTCTTGATTTCCTGTTTATAGCTTTCAAATGCTGGTGGTTATAAACTTATCGGTGCTTATAACATTATTCTTTCCAGTGCTATATCAGTTCAATGTGTTGGTGGTTTCTGCAGTTCACAAAGACTGTCAATATTTACTGTATCTCTTACCAAGTTCTCCATAACTGTGAAGCGTGAAGAAACTCCACATCTTTTTGAAGATTGTTGTTAAATCTTTGTGGAGTAATACCTTGACTCCTCTTCCTATTTTCCATAAATATCTTTGCTTTTTACGCCAGTATCTGTTATTAGTACTTCCTCCATTAGTTCATTTAGTATTGACTTAGCATTGAATTCTCACTGTAGTGTGTAAAGACTATCACAGAATCATTATAGAATACATAATAAAAAGACTAGAGATGGTCAGAAATTTTTTGATGGAGCAATTTTTCTTTAGAAGATGTCGATTAGATGGATTAGTAATTTTCTGGGAGAAAAAACTGATCCTGTGGGAAATTCAAACATTATTAAGCATGTTGACTTTTGTTAAAACTAGCTTGATTCTCTTTTCTGCTAGGTCTCGCACATTTTTTTCTCAGCATTCTGTTCCTCAGATTCCCACTGGTCTCTCTGGTACTCCAGACACTGAGGATCTGTGGCAGCCCCTTAGCATGGGGAAACTCTGGCTTCCAGAGCTTCGTGGCTAGTACCAGTCTATCCTGCCACAAATGCAGAATGCCCAGGTTTTCAGGTTTTGAACAGCAGGTGCCCTAGGAGTCAAGCAATCTTACTGCGTTGTTGCAGCTGTTTGTCAGACTGTTTAGAGATGCACAACTCAGGCTACATGGTTTACTTTAATTTGCATCTTTATATCATTATTTGTTTGATACTACTTATTTGATTAAATAGTATTAAAACAGATACTGCCGTAATTGAAACGACTGTATTTTCTTGTTCGTTTGTTCAGTGTTTGATGCTATAATGAAAATGTGATGTTTGAAACTTTGATCATTATTAATTGGAATAGAAGCAGTTTTTAATATGTCAGAAAAGAAATTTGAGAGCTAACATAAAGACACTGGAACAAGCTGATTTTCTAATTAGTATCACTGTTTATTTTCTTGTTTCCAGTGTCAAACTGTTCCAAAGCAACTTCAAATGAGGTAGATTTCTAGCAACAAAACAAGATAGACATTTTGCTTAGTGCTCATCTGAATAGTATTTGCTTTTATTTACATTAAAATAAAATGCATTACTTTACACTAGGTTAAAAGTAGGTTATCAAGTGATAAGAATAGACCCTCACAAAAACTTGGGAAATTTCATTTTATTGTGTATACTGCATAAAAGTGCATGAGTAGTAGTCATGGTGTGTATGCAGAACCAGTTATATTACAGGATGTGTGTTCAATTACACTGTTACACTATTTGGAATTAATTTTCTTTTCATAATTTACCATGGAACAGGAATTCCAAAATTTGACCAATTTAGGATTTTTAATAACACATTAGCTTATCCTATCACATGAGAGGATTAAGGTAAAAACTTGTTCAGGATTTTAATATAGTAAGCTAATAACCTATTTTTATTTCCTGCTCTATTTATAGAAGTGAATTGCAATCCAAATACTGGTGGAATAAGGGCATTTTCAAAAATTGGATTGTATCCATGAAAATTTCCTAATGAACAGTTTTCCCTCAGGTCTTTGTAAGTTTTGTAGGAAATTTTATTGCTCAGCAGAGCACTAGTTGGTTCTAAAGATGTTCTTTGAAGTAAAAACTTGTTTCAGTTACCAACTTAAAGGAGATGGAAAATCATGTAGTCACTGGAAGTGTCCATCTTTCTCTTACCTGGATTTCCCACAAACTACGTTTGAGGTTAGATAAATAATTTTCTCTAGATTCTTTACAGTATCTTGTTTGTCGTCTTGCTGTAAGGCCTACTTGCTGTATAAATCTCTTGAAGTAGTAAACAACTGGCTCTGTTCATTGACAAGGTAATGTTGAAAGGTTTAACAAACTTAGTTGCAGTAATGACTGCTTTTGAAGGAGATTTTATGCTTGTTTCTTTTGTAAAATGCTGTTTGGGTTTTTTTTTTTTTTCACACTGCGATGTTAGAAGCAATATCCTAGCACTAAACCTAATGGCTGCTATTTCATTTCTACAGTAATTGTGAATAAAAATAACTGAGATTCGCTACAGGTGTTTCTTTCCTCACTAAGTTAAAAAAAATCCTGAAACTACAAAAGTTGTTCAGAATTGAAGTTAATCTAAATCTGTAGTTGACCAATAATCCTCTTTATCTACTGCTTAATGGATAAAAGTAATGGAGTAGACATTTGTACAGGATGAGAACAATTATATTAAATGGTTTCTAATGTCAGTAATGTAGTAGAAATCTTGTTTGTTGAAAGAATAGAAATGGTATGTAGAAAAATATATATTACTACTTAAGAAACAAATATGTGAGTGACATGGTCACATCTGTAACTTGTAGGTTCTGGCCAGTTGGAATTATTTTCTGAGAGAATCACAAATTTTTAATGATCCAACTGCTCTTGTAATAATAGATTTGAATCTCTGTTTTCTAAAAAGAACTCATCATTTGAATTAACCGTTGTGGGGTTTGGTTTTGGTGTTTTTTGTGTTGGTTTGGTTTTGGTTTTTTTTAAACCATGCTCTCACTGATTTGATCAAATAAAGTCGCTCCTTCAAGAACGAAGGGATGACAGAATATTCTTTGTTCTTATTTTAGTGCTTTTGTTCTTGATATATTTGGACACATTATTCCAAATATGAATTCATAAGAACAGTGTTGGCAAATCTTCCAATTTTTGTTTTTGTGAATGTCAGTTGCAAGCAAAAGTTAAAATGTTAGTACAGCTTAATTAACCTCTTACGCTATGGCTTTTCAGTAATAAGGCAGAAGAAATAACTCTGGGTAGATACTCATTCTTCCCCACCAGCTGCTGAAAAGCAAAGCATGCTCTGCTTTTTTCAATTCTTGCATATAACATATATAAATTGCTATGGAAGATAGTAATAATGTATATATTTAATTAATCACTGAACACATGCTGAAATTATTTTAAATTCTGGAACAATCAATCTGTTAAAAAAGAAAAATCTTTTTTCTGTATCTATGTAACAATGGTCAGTTGGATTTAATGACAAAGTAGATGTTTACAGTCCTGCTTTGTTTTTAGCAGTGTGTTGCCAGTGGTGATTCTGTTGTCTAAGAAATCATGTATGATTTAAGATTACATTTAGGATATAGTTTGGCATTACAATTTGACTTGAGAACATTTAGGTTTCAGAGTGTCAAAAACCTCTCAAACTCTTCTTGAAGATTTTGGTGCTGAATAGCAAAGAAACTTGTCAAGGCTTACTTTTACTTTCTGTGCTGTGGAACAATAACCAAACTAGATCCAAGAAAACAAGTTTCATGCTGTTCTGAACCTAACCATGACCCAAACCTGATAAGATCGGGTCTTAGAGCTGGAACACCTCTGCAATTTGAGTGTCTAGTTAGAGGCATAATGTTGTGGCCAGTTTTCTGCAGCTACCTTCTCTCTTTCATGGTTCTACCTTAATTACAGCTTTGATGAGGTATTGTTATGTTGTGGTAAGCTTGTTACCTGATTGCACCATTTCATTTGGGACGCAAGTGTAAAGGTTTCTTGCAGGCCAAATTCTATAAATCTTTAATGAACAGAATTCAAATTTGCAGATAGTTTTATTATATTTCCATTAAATACTGCTACATTTGACCATTTCTGTATTGGTCTACTCCAAAATAAACACATGTTCTTAAGGTGCTGTGTATATGCAAGACCCGCATGATTTACTCTCAGAAACCTATGGTTTAGATGCATCCAAATGTTTTCACTTAAATGGGAACTGTAATTATATCAATGAATATACAGCATTCAGTCATGCTTGAGGTGCGACATACAGAATTTAGTAACTTCTTTTTATGTAAAAGTTTGTCAGTGCTACCTACAGATATACCACAAATGTTAAGATGTCTTTTGGTGGGTTTTTTTTTTTTTCCTTGCTCTCACTTTCAGAGTAGCTTGCATTTAAAAGCTAGTAGCAGCTTGCTTCCATTTGTTACCAAAATAACATGGTAGGAGCAATCAGTTTCAATTGCTGCTGATAATTATAAGGTGCAATAATTGAGAATATAGAGAAAAGGAGACTGTGAGCTACATTTGAACTCTGTACTTAAGCAATAAAAAATTTATCAAACTGCAAAAAATAAGTCATTTTAACGAGCACATTCCAAAGGTGCTGGATTTATGAGGAGACCCCAGGAAACTTTGATTGAAATTGCTGTCTCTGATTGTAGTTCTATATTTTATTGGTGCCATATTGTGAACAGTGCTGCTGCCAAAGTGAATGGGAAAGCAGCATAACAGAGAGAGTTAACCCAGAAAGGTTACCTCTTTTTATAATATCCATGATGTATTGCATTAAAAATGCCTTGAAAGCCATCCTATTTGCAGTTTTCAGAAAACATTTTTCTTAAATTAAGTTACGATTTATCTGAACAGGGCAGAAAATATGAAAGCCCCTTGAAGACTTTAGTATTGATTTTTCTGAGTATTTGCTAGCTCTTGTTTTCTCATTTGTGTGCTCCTTGATAGAAAGGCCTAGAGCTGGTCCTGAGCCAAAGCTTCAGCTGGATGAGAACTGCAGCAGTGGAGGGAGGGAATACGGGGACTGAATTTACAGTAGGAGTTTTAACTAAGAACTCCAAATTGGCTTTTTAAAAGGTTTTGGCTCTCCGCTTCCTGAATTTAGGCAATATTTAATTGACATAGAAAATTAAGACAATTTATTAATTATTAACGGCTACTCCCAACTAAACAAACAGCGCAGTAACCATGTGAGATGAATGACTTGAATATTTTGAAAGTGAGTTCAAGGTCACTTTTTGTGTGTGCATATTGCAATAAGAGTTATAAATCTTTATTTTAGTATTTTTATTCTAGAATGAAATTAAGACAAAAGTTTTAAAATTTATTACATGAAAGTACATTTGAAATGGACAGTGAAATGGACACACACAGTTACTAACTTACAAGCAATAATTAGGCATGCTACATAGTTGATGATTTCTAACTGTTCACTGCCGTTGTGTGCCAACTGCTTATTAAAACTTCATCCTCCCTCTGTCAAAATGCTCTGTTACTTTAGCCATAAAACTGTTATACCATAGGTCCCAAATACCTTGTTATAAATGCTGACTGTATCTTTCAATTTATACTGCAGTGAAGTAAGCTTATGAAAATAGTTCTGAGGGATTAATCTCTAAATACTATTTCTATGCAGTGGATTATTTTTTCCCCAAGCTCAACACATTCATGTTGCTTAATGATAAGAAAAATGTTGTGACAAATGTATTGAAGCTTCGTTGGCTCTTGCACATGTCATCTAGCGTGTTTGACTAATAATTTTGAGAAAAGAATTACAGATATGATTCCAAGATTTGCTCAACTTTGGTCTAAGTTGTGTTTTGTGCTCATTATTTCACCTTACTTTGCCTCAGTTTATGATTTGGTGAAGCTGCAAGTACGTAAACAAATGGAATTGTTCATAAAATGCTTTGGTAGTTTATGACTTGAAATTCTTTCAGAAGTTATCTATTTTATATCAATGCTGCTGCATTTTTTCTTTTTTATTCTATGCTTACAGTTTTACTAATGTAAAAAAAAAAAAAATTAAGGGTGAAGATTAACTAATACTCCCATTAAATGTACTGGAGAAAAACTTGAGTCCATGACAAACTTTGCCTTGATTTGCTTTTACTTTGTAGTTAACATGACGTTTTCATCTTAGTAAAGTTGGTTGCAAAAAATTCTTGATCTCATATGGCTTTTTTTATTTACCTGTAGTTTTGAATTTGGAGATGATTATTATACCAAATGGAGATTAGAGAAAGTTTAAGCCTGTTAAGATTGTACCAAGTGGGATATCATTAAGTCTGTATTGTTAGATCAGATTTTGTATTGTATGGTTCTCACCTTGTCTGTTGTCTCTGTGGTGTTTTTCCCTCTCTCTCAAGGTACAGCCGTGGAAGAAAGTAATGAACAAAAACTGAAGGGAAGAGACCCAGCTGTTTGGCATGTAGGGTTGAAGGTAGCATGGGACATAGAGACACCTGGATTAGCCATACCACTTCACCAAGGAGACTTCTACTTGATGCTTGGTAATTTTCAAGGGCTAAGAAGGTGAACTTTCTGTTGAAAAGAAGAAAAAATTACACTTATTTTAACATAGATTATCATACCTTCTTTTCAGTTAGGACTTCCCGTATTGAGAAAGACATGAGATCTGGCTAGAGTGCATTTCTCCTACCCTGCCCACTTCCATTGTATTTTGGGGAACTTTTTTTCCTAATGTTTCTTTCACTTCATAGCTAAGGAAGTAAATACTCTTTCTGAGCCTGTTCTGTCTGTTGTGCAGTCAGAATTGCTAGTCCAAGTCAGGCTTCAGGCCATATGCAGAACTTCCCCAGATCTTGTGAGAAGTTGAGCTGCATCTGTCCCATACTTTTATTTGTAGATTCTGATTCCTTTTGCTGTTTTTAATGTGGTTTTAGTGAGTAATTGTGAGCATCTGTGTCTGCTATGTTCAACAACAAAAACTCCTGTTACTGAGTTTGGATTATAAAGTGGCTATGTTTTATGTAAGCTGTGACTGTGGCAGTCTTGAAGTTTCAACCATTATGCCAGTCTGTGGATGTTCTATTGGTCAGCAGTTTTAGACACGACACTTCTCTCCTGCTGCGCTTCTCCATGTGTATATTCAAACATGCTATTTTCTAGTAGTGGATTGTACTAAGATCATAATGAACAGAGCTGTCATACTCCAAGAGTAAGTCTCAAGTGTAGAGGATTAAAAAAAGAAAATTAAATTGATTTAATTTACTTGAGCAGCTGAGCTCACACACTAAGGTTTTTCCATTGAAAGAAAGGAGGCAAGAACTGTAGCTAAGGTTTGTTGACACAGAATCTGTTGCTTTCTCTCTTGGCTTGTGTTTCTTGGCTTTTTGTCATTTTTGTTTAAACAAATTTAGTTATAAATCACACAACTCAAAACATGAATGATGCTTCTGACATCACCATGTTTGCCTGTTTAGTGACTTGGCTTGACAGACATCATCTTCGAAGAGTGAGAGCACTTGCAGCTCCCTGCTTATGTGTTTGTGACTTGGATGGTAGACACCATGGAATGTCCCTAGAATGACCTGTCGCACTGCCAACTCGGGCTGAACAGTCTTTTCACTTTTACTTTCACTTTTTATCTTCCAACAAATATGAAAACAGTTTACTTACTACAAGCAATAGAATCATAGCATCATAGAATCGTTTAGGTTGGAAAAGACCTTTAAGATCATCCAGTCCAACCATTAACCTAACACTACCAAGTCTACCACTAAACCAGTTAAGGGTAGAGGAATAAGTTAATGTTTCCTGGCTTGGTGGCTGGATTATTTTTTTAATGAAAGTAAAAACTAGGAATCATTAAGGTTGGAAAGGATCTCTAAGATCATCAGTGCAACCAGCAACCCAACACCACCATGCCCACTAAACCATGGCCCAAAGTGCCACGTCTACCCATTTTTGGAACTTTTCCAGGGTTGGTGACTCCACCACCTCTCTGGGCAGCCTGTTCCAATGCTTGACCCCTCTTTCCGTGAAGAAGTTTTCCCTAATACCCAATCTAAACCTCCCCTGATGCAGCTTGAGGCCATTTCCTCTTGTCCTATTGCTAATTACTTGGGAGAAGAGCCCAACACCCACCTCACTACAACCTCCTTTCAGGTAGTTGTAGAGAGCGATAAGGTCTCCCCTCAGACTCCTGAGGTACAGCCTCACCAGTGCTGAATACAGGGGAACAATCACCTCCCTGCTCCTGCTGGCCACACTATTCCTGATACAAGCCAGGATGCTGTTGGCCTTCTTGGCCACCTGGGCACACTGCTGGCTCATGTTCAGGCTGCTGTCAACCAGCACCCCCAGGTCCTTTTCGGCCAGGCAGCTTTCCCCAGCCTGTAGCGTTGCATGGGGTTGTCATGACCGACGTGCAGGACCCGGCACTTGGCCGTGCTGAACCTCATACAATTGGCCTCAGCCCATCGATCCAGCCTGTCCAGATCCCTCTGCAGGGAAGGGGCATTTGTGGGCAATCTTAAATGGGCACACTAGTGGGCAATCTTAAAAAATATACCATTCCTTGTTCTTAGTTACCTCATGAAATCCTGTGCACTGTTATCAGTGAAGTATCTTGTGTAAAAGAATTGGACTGAGCTCTTAAGTATGTTTAAACATTAACAGATGAAATGTTAAGATGCAAGATCCTTTGGCACAGTGGTGTGGATATGCATCCCTTTTCTGTATTTGTGAGGGTACAGAGTAGCAGCCTGGAGGGAAACTTAGACATTTCTTGTATGAAAGTGGAGTTTAAGTGGCAGCTAAACATTCCTAGAAAAGGAAGTTATGAATCCATTTTTGTGCAATAGCAGTTCAAGCATCAAGTAAACTTCTTATCTAATCCTTCCTGACTGGAAAGTTTGTGCATACACAGCTTTGCTGGGCAACAGATTCAGAAGGTAAGTAATAAAAGAAGGGGTCTAACTTCAGTATTTTTGTTGCAAAATACTGTAGGCTGTAGCTGACTGAGTTACCAGATCATAAGGACACTTTCTGTTCCCTGATGGAATTTATATACAGTAACAAAAGAATTATCAGGGATGCTATATGAAGGGCAGGTCAGAAAGTTAGTTTATTTAACACCTAACATCATCATCATATTTAGATGGAAACAAAGGATAAACATTCTCTTAAACATGATGTGAAAGTCACTTCCTTATTAATACTTTGTGGAGAGCTACAGATTTCAGCTCTGTAGGCCTGGTGTTTGATAATCTCTTCTGCAATTCCATAGCCTTTGTATTTTTTTTTTCTCTATTACTTTAAAAAAACTATTATTTTATACAGTCAGAGAGAGTATTCTCAAACTGGCCCTTTTATTAGGTTTCTGTGTACAGCAGAACTACCTTTATCATTTTCACTTGAAGAGAAAGACAATATAAGTGGATGTATACAGTTTTAGTGTATTTTTTACTGTTCGGACTTTTAAGAGGAAGCATCTTTAGGATGCCATCTAAAAGATAAAATATGAAAACTTTTTATACAAAGTAACTTGAAAATAAAGAAGCCAATTTCGGATTCATTTATCTTGTGCCTTTATACATTGTAGCTTTTAGAAACTCATTTCAGTAAGCACAGTCTTCTTGCTGGCATTATTTTAAAAGTAGTGGCAGCAGTATGCAAGGCATCTAGAAAATACAACTTTAAGATAAGAGTACTGCAGCTAGTAGCAGCTGTTGATGCACAGGCACTGATTGGTAGGACTCTGTACTATTTCTAACTACCATTGTCTCATCCAATTCTAGCAAAAATCTTGGCAACTCTGTAGGTCCGTTCTTCCAGTTGTTGAAATGGTATAGTGCTTACTGCTTTATATGAATGTTGTAAAATACTGAAATGTCAAACTCAGTATGTTGCTTATAATTAAAAAGTCACGTCCTATCAATTCCTGTACCTGTAATACCCCAACTATGTCCTAATATTGTACACACATATCTTAGATATGAAAATGTGGTAAATTATTACTTCTAATAGTAATGTGCAATTACAGGAACTTGTAAATCCTGATCAATGGGTATATCAAAGTAACAAAAAGATTGGGAGTGGTTTTTAGCATTTCTAGTAGACATCTAGTAATATTTATGCTCCTCTCTTTATTGGCTCTATAAAATGTTTTTTGTTATTGGGTAGAATTTTAGTAAAATGCAGTCTTAAAATATACATTTACACCTGCATTCTCAGCAGTCCTCTTCAGATGAAACCATAAGCCATAATTTAAATGTATGTCAGTATTAAACATTAGGTGATCAAATCAATTCTTCAAGTAAGCTATTACAATAATATAAATGTATTTTGTTTGAACAAAACCAAACATAATCTAAAATTACTTTCAGTAAGACTTTTTTTTTTTTTTCTGAAGGCTTACTTCTCGTAATACAAAGAAAAAAGAGCTGGTGAATGACTGCAAATCTGCTGCCTAAAAGCTCAAATCTGAACTTTATATCACTCATGAAACGGAAACACTTTAGCTCAATTTAGAATAATATATTGGTCTGCAGAGGAAGTGCATACTGAACCCTGCTGTCTCAAGTACACAGTCAAGGGGTGTCTAATATGAAACGTGTTGGGTGCATGCAATAAATCCGAAACGCGTGGAGGTGAGCAAAGGGCCCCATCTGCTCTGTCCTAGAGCATGCTTAACTAGGGTTGTCATGGTCTTACTATTAAATTGGAATCTTTCCCCTAATCTTTGAGTTAGACATGACCAGATTTGCAAGCAGATTTACAATTTTCACTAATTTTCCTACCATGACTTCAAAACATACTTAACAAAAATACATTCTGGACTTTTTCACAGGGAGATTTACTTTTCTGCAGCTGTTTCCCATAGATCAAGCTCTTGCTTGAAGGTTAGGGTTTTAAAACAGCATGAGGATGAACTTGGAATCTTACACCCCTCCCCACCCCCAGCAAATTATAGTTCAAGAAGCATCAAAAAATTATTTTTATAACCAACCAGAAATAGGGTGCACACATTGCAGAGGTTGGCTTGTGGTTAAAGATAAGTATTTAATGGAAACGCTTCCACATGTATATAGTGGCTCATTAAACTATTTCTAGATACTTAATCTGCTTCTGTTTCCACAAACTAACTTGAACCCTCTTTGCTCTCTAGCATCTTGAATGTGTTGGAGGTTTTTAAACTTTTTCTTTTTCCCTTCTCCTTGAGTCCGCATTTAATCCAAATGCTATATTCCTTGATTATTAAGACTTTGAACCCCAGAAATGTATTTGTCGTTACCAAACTTTGATCGTGGTGTGGCAAATCTGAGACTATTTTTTTTTAGTTCAGCCTTTTAATTAATTCTGTGTTTTGTTTGTGCACACTTTTCTTGTTTGAAAACTAAAAGTATTTCTTAATTAGGGACAGATCATCCCTCTAGCTTTCTGTTATGAAAGTAGTATTCCATTGACCCCTAATTTCTTGGGGAAGGAGACATACCTTCCTGGTGCTTTTTTGTTGACATACCTACAGTAAAATTAGTTTGGTTAG